TTTCTTATTTAGAATGTTGAAATAGCAATTTAATGGATTATCTTTCATACCTATATTGCTTTTGCATTTTGAAAATAAACTTTACCTGGAAAATTTGTCTAAGGTTGGGGTATCCTGAATGGTACCCCGGACTTCAACCTGCCATGGCTCCAAAAAGTGGAAATGATCCAACTGTCCACCAACTGATGAATGGATAAAAAAACGTGGTATATCTGTACCACGAAACATTATTCAGCCACAAAAAGAAATGAAGTACTGATTCACGCTGCAATGTGGATGAACACATTATATAATTCCATTTATACAAAATGTCCAGAATAGGTAAATCCACAGAGACAGAAAAATTAATGGTTGCCAGGGGCTGGGTGGAGGATGGGGAGAAACAGAGTGACTGCTGATGGGGACGGGGCTTCTTCATGGGATGATAAAGAAGTTCTGGCATTAGGGGTTGTATTGGCGCAATTCTGTGAATATACTAAAAACCACCGAATTGCACACTTTAAAAGGGTAAATTAACCATCCCCACTTTATCCCCCAACTCCTTGCGACACTTCCCAGCCTCTGGTAACCATCACTCTACTCTCTGTCTCCACGAGATCAACTGTTTTTAACATTTAGCTCCCATATATGTGTGAGAACATGCGAGATTTGTCTTTCTGTGCTTGGCTTATTTCACTTAACGTAATGCTCTCCAGTTCCATCCATGTTGTTGCAAATGGCGGGATTTCATTCTTTTTTTTGTGGCTACATAATATTCCACTGTGCATATGTACCACAATTTCTTTACCCATTCATCTGTTGATGGACATGGGTTGTTTCCAAATCTTGGCTATCGTGAATAGTGCTGCATGCAATAAACATGGGGGTGCAGATATCTTTTCAGGACACTGAATTCCCCTCTTCTGGATGTACACCCAGCAGTGGGATTGCTGGGTCATATGGTAGCTCTATTTTTAGTTTTTTGAGGAACCTCCATACTGTTCTCCATAGTGGCTGCACTAACTTATTATACATGGGTGGTCGCTCTTTGGATGGGGTGATCTGGGAAGGCCTCTCTGAGCACAGACCTGAGGCGGGGTGGGGTGGGGTGGTGGGCAGAGCCAGCTCAAATATC